ACTAGGAGGTACGGTTTAGACCAGTGGTCTAGTTAATAAAACATAATAATATCAAACATAATATGACTATTGTAGTGCCGTGAAAAGAGAGTCGGAGGCGGTGTATTAAGAATGGAGTTCCAATCTTTATTATCCATTACTTCAGAGAGGTTAACACATGCACTGCTCTGCCATGATGAGCTAGCAGGAATGGCAGCTAAAGCTACAGGTGTTCCCCACTAAAGGGTCCGTGTGGCAACACAATAAGCAAGGTGAATTATGTCCAATAACGTGTCACCACACTATTCACGTTATTGTGAAATTAAAACAGAATGGTAAAGGAAAACACAGTTTCAGTCTCTCAATGTGAAGCTTATGCATTGTACCATAAACGTGTATAGACCTGTAACAGTCAACTGCATGAGGAGTTGGAAAGGTAGTTCAAAAAATCAGTAATATATTTTAAAAACTACAAACAAATCCCTTTCTATCAGCTGTGCACCTTTATGGTGTAAATACAGCCTATCTACCAATTGGATCAAATATAAAAGTCAGCCGAATTAGTGTTGATACTGCAAGGAGACGTATTGTGTGAAAAGAAATGGAAGATGTTGTTTAATTGTTATTTTATGGTCCACGTCACGTATTCAGTTTTGGCGGCATCTCTTCCAGTTTGTCAAAAGGTCTTCTGATCAGGGCTCTATAAATACATATCTACGGCAGATATGTAATATTTAATGCAGCTGAACCGTGTATTACAATGCCGTTATGTGATGACTTTCAAAGAGAAAAGCAAGAACACTCGGAATAAAGTATTATTATTATTTTTTTAAATGTTTTCCGATTTCATATCACATAAACACCATATCCCGACGTGCATTGCGGCGTGATTTTAGCCTATCAAAACCTCTAAAAAAAGAAATGTGTCTCTCAGAATCGAAAGAGAAAACCCTATGGGAAAAACACAAAAGCATTGTACACAATTTAAATCAATTAATGTCGTATAGTTAACTAGGATAAACTGATGTTTTTTAGTGGATGAGTACTGCAGATATCACTGTTAAATCATTTGATCATTGGTTTTATTATGAAAACGTCGAGACCGGAAATACTGTTTTCAACCCGTAACTTTACATGGAGGCTGCCGCATACCTCAAATCATCTTCGTAATATCTATCAAACTATAGATCCTACATAACGACTGGACGTGGATTCTAAAAGTACAATATATACTTCTCGCTAGAAATCTAATCATAAAGCGTTTTAATGGCCAAACTATCCTACAATTTAGGATTTTACAGAGAGGGTTATTTGTGAATAAACAACCCTCTGTAACGTTTGCATTCAACGGGAGCACTAGAGGCCGACGACTTTCAAACGTAATTATAGGTCGTATTAAGCGCTTGAACAAACGACATATTTGGTCGTATGAGTTGGAGGACTTGTTGGAAAGACTTGAAGAAAAGACCCAAACTCACAGAAGAGCAAGTGAAATGTATTGCTGAACTCTCTCCCGAAATGACAGAAAAATGCAAGAACGCCTTTTCCAATATGACTGCAATAACAAACTGCAATGAAAAGGACCGGTCTGTGCGGATGGAAGGAAATAGACATGACGAGATACCAGTTATCATGATGCTGCTGGAAGTTACTGCAAATTCAGGTCAGAAAGTTGGAACCCTGATAGATTTAGAATCAGACACCAACTACATAACCCACAGAGCCGCCAACCGGTTAAACCTGGAAAGTGAAACAATCACATTGGTTGTCCATGGAGTTGGAGGAATGACACTGAGGGTGAACAGCAGAAGATATTTCCTCAGAGTTAGAGTCAAGACACCCAGAGGTACAGAAAAAGCGCACCAACTTGTTTGTTATGGCCTCAATGAAATAGCCAACATGCAAAGAGTCATCGAACCTGAACAGCTGAAGAAATTATTTCCAGAAGTCAAACTTGAGGATTTAGAAAGACCAGAAAACATTGAGCTACTTATCAGCCACCGAGAAGGTAGACTGGTCCCACAGAGGGTGAAGATTGTCGAAGACCTCGTTTTGTGGGACAGCCCACTGGGTAAAACTGTGGCTGGAGCTCACCCTGATCTCTTTGAGGAAGTGGAGATGACAACACATAAGTCTGAAACACACTTCGCTTGCTCCATGCGTATGGCCGCAGTGAAATACGAGGAAATCATCAGAGCTGAAGAGATTCAGGCTGAAACAAAAAGCACAGCTGTTGACAGAGAGTTTCTGGATTGGTGGAAGTGGGACAGTATTGGAGCAGCCTGTGAACCAAAATGTGGAGGATGTCGATGTGGTCATTGTCAGCCTGGAGGAAAGGAAATTACATTAATTGAGGAAAAAGAGCTGGAAATCATAAAACAAGGCCTTACCTATGTTACAGCTGATGCCCACAGTAGTGCTCCACACTGGGATACAAAGTACCCTTGGATCGAGGACCCAATCTCTCTTCCCAACAACAGGACTGCAGTGGAAGCAACTTTTCTGAGGACAGAAAAACAACTCAAGAGGGAGCCAGATTGGCAAGCTGCCTACAAGGCACAGGTACATGAAATGGTGGAAAGAGGAGCAACCCCTGCTGATCTCAAGGAGGAATCTGAAAATGCCAGTGGAGGAGTGGCCAAAGAAGTCAGCAAAGGAGGTTGCGGCAAATGCAAAAGAGGACATCAATAAAATCCAAAGGAAAACATTCACAGCAGCACTCACCAGAGCTCAGGCAAAGATGAAGCATCCTGATGGCAAAGAACCTCTAACCCTTATAAAACCCTCTGAGGGTGAGAAAGAGACTCGAACCCGAAGAATACCAGCTGGCTCAGTTATAGGGCAACTGATTGATGTGAGGAAATTCAGCAGCTTGGATAAACTGGTCCGAGTTGTTGCCTGGGTGCTGTAGAAGCAAACACAGTAGTGGTGGCTTAAAGCCCACCTCTGCTCCGCGCCGTCCGTTTAGATGAGCCTGGTCAGATTAATAAGAGAAGGAGTTCAAAACACCGGCATAAAAGTTATAACAATAATCTGATTTTAATGGTAAAAAACACAATACGAAATACAGAGTGCCCTGTAACAGAGCACTCCGGGCTCCCCGCTCTACTGCCGTGCGATACAGATATCGGGACCAGCCAGTCAGAAACAGGGGGCATTTTGCATGGGTAAACAACAGTATATATGGACATATTTGGGGCGGAGAGTCACTTCACTTCCTTCTTGCACCTGAGTTCACTCCTTTAATTTCCCAAGGAAGATTTCACACAAACTATTCTTTCCCAGACAACCAAACATTGTACACAGATATATTGGTACATTACTTTTGAACAGAGCGTGAGTAGACAAAGGCAGAGTCAATCATTATCTTCCACCTAACTTCACTCCTTTACTTTCCCAAGGAAGATTTCACACAAACTATTCTTTCCCAAACAATCAAACATTGTACACAGATATATTGGTGCTTGAGATTATATTGGCCCCAGAAAGGACCTTGAAAAGAACATGTGTGTGTGTGTGCTGATATCTGGGTCAGGAAGTGTATGTGTGTGTGTGTGTGCTGATGGGAGGAAGTGTGTGTGTCAGGGTCTCTGGGTCATGGAGTGTAAGTAAGAAGTTTTCTATATATATATATATATATATATATAGGATTACTTTAAAACAGTCCCAAATAATACATGTTCACTTCAATGCAGTTCAAGATAATACCTGTTTACTTTAATACAGTTTAGAACAATATCTGTTTGCTTTAGTACTTATCTAGTCAGTGCATCAGCACTATGCATTAGATATAGTAGGCCCGCCCCCAGTTTGGAGGCAGAAGTAAGAGCATGGAAGCTAAGCACTGTCATGATATGGACCGAGACAGCAGAAAAACACTTTCACCACCTTACCATGCCGTCAGTACCATGCCGTTTTTCCCACAGGGAACTGAAGCCAAAGATTGATTGACTACTCAGAAATCTGACCTTATAGAACACCAATAAAATGTAATAATGAGGGTTTTGAAGGGTTAAAGTGGTTAACATATTACTAGCATACACTCGAGATCTTGTGATGTGGGCCCTTCTTTTTGCCGCTCTCCTCGTCCTCAGCAGTACATTGTTCTGCGTCCCGCCCATTCTGTAGCCTGCTACTCTAAACTACAATCTACTGTAGGTTAATACACTATGAATACACCATTGACACATCGATTTTGCTAATTTATAACTGAACTTATAATATTCCTCACCTCAGCACTGCATATGTGTTTCTGTATGTAGCCATCTTATTGTTATTACTTCTCTCTGATACTTAGATTAGGCTACAGATGACATTTTTGAATAAACCTTCCCAACCCCGGTTCTCAACTTCATATTCTTCTAAACTAATGAGCTATATATAACAAAGGCATACAGCTTCGTTTCAATAAGTCGCTCACCCGGCTAACAATGACGTCAACACACCTGCAGAGTTAGCTTAGCTTAGTAAGACTAATACTGTAATATTCTAATATGTTTCTTTGGTATATCTTGATTATTTTTGAATAAGCTCTAGTTTAATGAAAGCTACATTAACAAACTAAATGAAAACACATATTACATTACACGTCACTTGTTACTACGCTTTTATCCAAAGCGTCTAACATACATTCATTGTTGGCAATCCCCACAGGAACAATTTGGGGTGAAGTGTCTTGTCCAAGGACACAGCGGAATGTTTGACTGCAGCGGGATTTCGAACCAGTGCCCCCGTGATCAGAAGATCAGCGCACTGACCACTGAGCCACAACCTCCCTTACCTACAGCTTTATGCATCCACTGCTGTTAGCTTAGCAACAGTTTAGCTTTGCTTGGCTCTGAAGCCCCCCCTGCTGGTCAAGCACCCTGACATCAAATAGTCACTGTCCAGTAATGAACTAATGAATAAACAAATAGCCTGTGTTTGACTATCTGAAGACAAATAGTTAATACTTTAAGGGAAATGCTACGAACAAAGCGCCCAACTTATGTTTCAGAGGTTTGATCAAATATGACACTGAATTTGGCACGCACAACAACACGCCAAGTGAAGGCCACGTTTTCCATTTATTTTCTGGAATGAATTTCAGTTTAGAAAAAAACGTGTAAAAGTGTTATTCTTAAAGCAGCAAGCTAAAAATTAAAACAATAGGATATCTTCCGATTTACAACACTAATCTGCTACATAACATGTAAAAATGTGCTATTACTTTACCAACAGATATCACATAATTATGGAAAATGATTTCTTCTGTGAATTGCAGGGTTCTTATTTCAAACAAAGGCAGAGGCTGAGATTGTAGCTGAGGCAGCAGCTGTCACTCAGGCTGTGTGACCCCCCGTCCCTTCAGCAGTCGTCTTCACTGCTCCTCTGGCAGAGACAGCGCTGAAGCACCTTGTGTCTGCATTAAGCTTTGAAAATCAAAAGGCAGGTGTTTATTCTGAACCATCTCAGTTCAGCCAGTCCAGATCATTATCCTCGTCATCGTCACCAAAGAGAGGGGCAGGGGGGGGGTGCCCCTTCAAGCTCTGGACACAAAGGAAAGAGATGATAACATAAATATCGTTATCCTCAGGTAATCATCTTCTAAAGCAGTATGGTGATAAAACATCAATGACTGACGTCGCACTGAAACAGGGGACCTGCACATCCTTCCTCACCATCTCATCCTCCTCTTCCTCCTCGCTGGGTGCTGCGGGGGGTTTGGCAGGAGTTGTGATCTGGAAAAATGGTTCTTCTCCATGTTCCTCTCCCATTCCCTCAGTCAGACTAAGAGAATAGCAGAAAAGGGGTAGAGGCGGACGGGGAGGAACATAAAGACAGTGAGGAGAAAAGAAAATGGGGATGAAGAAAGCAAGAAACACCAGGTGGGACAAGCAGATAGTCTGCAGGAATCAGGCATACATTGACAGGCAGGGCGGCACAAACATGTTAGATCTGGTCTATTAGTCGTATTGGCCCTCAAAACTGCATTTCTTGTTGATGCTTGGAGATACATCGCTAATAAAAGAAACATATAGCTTAAATCATTGTGTTGGGTTCCAAAGTGGAGCAAATGTTTTTAGATGTATTCTCAAAGGTTTCAGCTCACCTCTGAATTGTTCGAATAGTTTTCAAATATTGCAAAGAAACCATTTTCCAAATGTTGTGTTGCATTCAATAATATCCTGATAAACAAGAATCATGAGCCAAATAACCAAAGACATATGAAACCCTATATAGGCACCTCTGTGAATATAAGCAATATTAATATACACATTATACAAAAAGTTGGGCAAATTCTTAGAATGACAGTATCTGTCAATATTTGTGTCTCAGCCTAACAACGTTTTTATACTGTACTATACATACTTCACTTTGCATTGAAACATCATGTCCAGGACTGCCTACTACCCTCACTGTGCCTCAAGTAGTCGAATGAACAAGATGCATTCAACAACTGATTTGCATCAAAGGCCAAAAACCATTTACACTGAGCTTCACAACAAGCCGTGCAATAAATGTGCCTCCTACATGCCTCCTTAAGAGACAGAGGATCATCTCTTATGTTCCTCCTGCTGTACGATGCTCTTTCTACAGGCATCTCAACGATGTGTCGCATTCAACAATATACTCCGTAGTTTGATTTGAAATGTGTTCTCCTAAGAAAAGTCTACATCATGACATCATGACAGATCTGTGCTCTTATAAGGATGAACCCCTTAGCTCTGGTAAATGAAGGCATGTGTCAGTTGATTCTTATTAGCAGGTAAAGCCCCACCAGTCACTAATAAACAGCATGAGACTGCAGTTAAGATAATTAAGTCAAACTCTGAGAGGCAGGAGCATCGAACTCTAATAGAAAAAAGAGAGTGACTTCTGCATTAAGTCAAAATAACTTTATATATCGTAGTGTGGATATAAAATAACACAAAATAAGATTCATACATTATGCTTTGGATAGTTTCTTCAATATCAAACCATACACTTGTTTTTACAAGAAGTAAAGAAAACCTGAATTGAAAATATTCTCAGCAGTTCCAAATCTGTCAGGCATGCTTTGATATCTTTTGAGGTTGTGCACACACAGGTTTTTAAGTTTGATTTCTTTGGAGTTGTACTAAAGACTATCCCCCTGTGCTGAGCCAGGCATAAGTATATGTACTATATGTGACCTCATCAGGTTACATATAGTGCATATACTTAGTTCCTGCCAGGACTCACCTGGGCTCCTCTCCTGAGCTGTCTGGTAGTGCATTGGGAGGTGGGGGAGGGTTGGCAGGGGGGCCAAAGGCTTTCTGGGAGCCGTCCTGCATTTCTCCTTCACTCTCTTTGCCCCCCTCACTGCTGTGAGTCCCCTCTGACACAGGTTCCTGTCTGTGCTCAGCTGCTGGACTCTCTTCAGGTATATTATGTGGGTCTGCAGACTCAAAGGTTTCTTTTTGCTCTGAGGAGATTTCCTGCTCCACTTCACACTCTGCCGTTTCATGCAGTTTGGGTTCAGTGGTAGAAAGGGGGCTGAGATCAGTGGCCAGGCTTACTGTCTCTGACTCAGGAAGTGTCTCCGTCTCTGCTGCCACGTCCTCATCCGTCTGGCTCTCACTCACTTGCTGAGAATCTGATTCGGCTTCAAGTTCTTTCTCTTGGACTTCTCTGTCGCCATTCACATGTATATTCTGCACTGTCTCCTGTCTCTGTTTCACATCACATTCCTCCTCTTCCTGTCCCAGTGAAGATCTGTCTGTGCCAGTGAGCAGCTGCAGGGTCACATTCTGGAAAAATATCCATATATTAAATAAAGTTCATCATTTGATCAAATCTCTCTTATTGTGTGTCCGTCTGGGGCCCAGCACTCAATAAGCAATAACAAGCTTTGAACAAATCTGAACAAAATACATTTCATCAATGTAGAATTAAGTATGAAGTATCATTTATCAAGCTTTGATGTTTCCATAAATCTCTCGTTTATTAAATAGATTTTCAAGTGTTTAAATGCCCCAGAACTAGTCAGTGAAAAATAACAAAAGGTAAGATATAACAGTCAGTCAGTGGACACTGCAAAGCAGCTCATACTACCTTCAGTCAGCCTCTTTACAATTAGAAGCCCACAGTTTAGGAACACCCTGCCATCAGCTCTATTAGATTACTGTATTACGTGTTTGTATTTGTTACCACTCTAACCAGGGACAAGGACTGCTAAGTACATCTAAAGACCCAGAGACCTTTATTGATCCCCGTATGGCAATTCAGGTGTAACAGGAATAAGAGAGAAACACGGGACAGTACACACAAGAGTTCAAACAAGAAGACTAGGAATTAAAAAAAAGCATAAACATGTAATTATTAATAGAAAAACACAATAATAGAGGGAAATTCAATGAGCAGCTGAATGTACATATATTCAGATACGAGTGAATATAGTTAAATATGTACTGTATGTACATGTATATGTGCAGGTGAAAGTAATATGTGTATATACAGTGCAGGTTGTTTTTGGATGAGTTACATGGTTAACCCTTGACAGTGCAGCCTGATGTACTGTCAAGGGTGCCCCTTTGTGTACACAAAGGAGTGTACCAGGCACTGTGAGGTGTGTGTCTGTTGAACTGCATTAAATAACACCTAGTGTGTCAATAAACCTGTGTGTGTGAGTGTGTGTGAGCGAGTGAGTGAGTGAGTGTGTGTGTGTGTGTGTGTGTGTGTGTGTGAAACGTCTTCACCTTGATAGTAGTGACGATCACCCCCAGCACAGCCTGGCCACTGTAAGACTCACTGAGGTCAAACTGTCCTCTCAGAGAGTGAAACACTCCGTTCATCACGCGCTTCACCTGCAGAAACACACAGCTTCACGTCACAGGCATGGAATGTATAGCTCTTCATATTTTGCCTGCATGAAACTCCTACATAAAGCAGATATCAAACTGAAACACAAGTTGTAGAAATGTAAATTGTTACATTCATACCCCCTGTAGTTCGGACTTCCTTTTTGTGTGTGGGGAAGCTAGAACTGAGAGTGGGAGGGGCCTACACTGACATCTAGAGGCTCTAATGAGCTATTGTTAATCATTCTGGATTTGTATTCTCTCCTTTTGTCTTCTAATGAATGATGGGAAAACCGGAAGACATTTTTTTAGGGTTGATGGAGGAACCCCACCTCTGCTGAAGAGTCCCCAGAAGCCTGCTGCTCAGAGCCTTGCTGCTCCAGTTCAGCTACTCTTCTTTCCAGAGCCTCCCTCACAGACACTGCTTGCTGCTCCAAGGTTGTGTACTAAGAAATAAAAAGAGGCAAACATTTACTTTAATACGATGTCTAATGGCGCATTCCCACACTACACGGCCTGGCTCGGTATGGCTAGGCCTCGTTAGGACTGGCTCACTTTATGGCGCATTGCCATTACAGTTTAGGAACTGGGGCAGTATCTATAGTAACGCAGTGTAGGCGGAGCCGTGACTCATCTTCGATGAGAGCCCCAGAAAAACAACACAGTTAGCTCTTAGCACTCAGAGCTCACAGCTCCTCATATCTGTTCAGAAACTAGACAAAAGTTAAACAAGTACAAACCACAGACTGCCTGTGTCATGGCGAATACAGTCGCTGGTTTATTTATGTCTGTATAGGCCGTTGTTGTGAGTGTGGACGGTCGGAGCATATATAACGTTAGCTTAGCCAAGCTCCATTTAGAAAACACGCATTTTAAAAGGGTTTTTTCGCCTGCCGTCTGTCTGCAGACTTGTCAAAGCATTCATTCATGGTTTTTACTAACCGGTATCAGTATGTTGTTACTTCGGCATCATTTTGAAACGTGTATTAGAATTAAATCACGGTCAAATATGTTCATCTTGTTGTAGTTGTAGCCCCCTTGCCAGCGATTCTCTCTCTAGTTTAGCATACTCAGCCCGACTCAGCCTGGTTGTTGGCCCGGAAAGAACCTTCATTTTATGGGGCCAGAAAACTGTGAAATAGTACCTGTCAGTTATACGCCAAGTGGAAACGCAACCAATAACGGGCCCCGCACGGCTCGGCACGCTTAAAGCGAGCTCCGCGCTGTGTAGTGGAAATGCGCCATTAATGTCCTGGCAGATGCATTCCCTGCCAGTGAAGAGCATAGTGTCTGACAGCAGCCCCCCCATCTTACTCTCCCCTGCAGGGCCTGCAGCTCCTCAGTCTGCCCGCGGTGTTGGAGCAAAGTCTGTTCTTCTACATTTCTTGACTGCTTCACAGCCGTGAACTGTTGAGAGTGAAACAGAGGCAAGAATAAGGCAATCATCATATAGTAACTCTTCACTATGTCAAGCCAACTTGTGTCCAATTATGGTGAATCCAAGTAAAAAAGGTTCAGACTTACTTTATTTTTTTAGTATTTTAATTTTTAGTTTTCTAATTTGAGAACTAATCATTTCATCATCTAATTGTTTCAGTTTAATAACAAAATCCGTTGTGAAAACAAAAGAACGTAGATAACCCTAACCCTAGGATAGAAAGCTGGCTAGTTAGCAGTTTGATCTTTTTAAGCTAACTAGCTAGCCTACAGAATTTCAAGCTGCATTGTGTACTTGTTTTCTTTGGTGAAAGCTGTTTGAGCCTTACGTTTTTGGTACATGTATGAACGGCTGGAGTTTTGTTCCTTACAAAGTTCATTAGATATGTTGAGGTAATGTACAGAAATCATTAATGCCATATTACACTTCGCCTGCTCCTTATTATGATCTTAACTCATGACCCAACATTAAAAGACAAAACCAAAACATAATATTAAAGATATTACATTATTATTAAAATGGATATCCAGCATTATAAAGTTGTTGGAAATATATCAGGGGTTTCAGTCCGTAGTGTGGGTAACGTTCAAAAAGCCCCTGAGCCAACATGTCTCATAATGTGCAAATGTAGAGTTCCAATCAATAACCAATGAGACAGACTTGCTGATTGAATATTTTGGAGTGTGTGTGTGTGTTGTCCACCTTGTCCTGCAGCTGGGTGAGCCTGTCCTGCAGAGCGTCTCTCTGCTCGCAGACCTCAGCCAGCTCTCTGCTGTGCTGCTCTCTGCCACCGGCCATCATCTGCTCACACCTCCCCCTCCACTGCTCCTCCAGCTCCACCTGCTGCTGACATAGCTGCAACACACGCAGGCCACAGAACATGAGGGATGCAATGCTGCCAATGAAGTCACGTGAGATAAACTCTTTTATAAAACATACTATAAAAAGGACCAAAGCCTCTCGCCACATCCATTGACTATCATCCACCCCAGAAAAACAGTTTGCATTACATTTATGTGAACAACATTTAGCACATTTCTGCTCCACACCACCTCTTTAGAATCTACACAGCTCTACACTATTTTTTTTTAATAACTTTGTATGCACCATACCGAAGCAAATTCCTCATATTTGTAAACCTACTTGGTAAGAAAAACAATTCTGATTCTGGTATTATTAACTGATTCAGAATATTTGTAAGGGAATTCAGAGAGATGAACAATTGCAAGTTATTGAACCATCACGTTATCATTTATATTTCTACAGTGGCTCTGATTGGCCCACCTGCTCTGCTGCAGCGGTGTCGGTGCTGCTCCTGGCCTTGCGCAGCAGAGCTCTCAGATTGTCCTGCTCCAGCTGGCTGTTCTTCCGGAGCTCCTCCACCTCCTCGTCCCGACGCTGACGCTCAGCCTGCCACTTCTGCCTCCTTTCAGAGAGTGTCTTAAAGGAATGGGAAGTAACTGTCAACATGTACTGGCAACTACACTGAACAAAAATATAAACGCAACACTTTTGTTTTTGCTCCCATTTTTCATGAGATGAACTCAAAGATCTAAAACATTTTCTATATACACAAAATAACCATTTCTCTCAAATATTGTTCACAAATCTGAAAAAATCTGTGATAGTGAGCACTTCTCCTTTGCCGAGATAATCCATCCCACCTCACAGGTGTGGCATATCAAGATGCTGATTAGACAGCATGATTATTGCACAGGTGTGCCTTAGGCTGGCCACAATAAAAGGCCACTCTGAAACGTGCATTTTTGCTTTGTTGGGGGGGTCTGGGGGGGTCCGAAATCCAGTCAGTATCTGGTGTGAGGGGTAGGGTTAGGGGTAGGGTAATGTTGTGAATTGAGTGGCCCATGGTGGTGGTGGGGTTAGGGTATGGGCAGGCGTATGTTATGGATGACGAACACAGGCCACTCGATTCACAACATTACCCTTACCCTAACCCTACCCCTCACACCAGATACTGACTGGTTTTCGGACCCCCCCAGACCCCCCAAATAAAGCAAAAATGCACGTTTCAGAGTGGCCTTTTATTGTGGCCAGCCTAAGGCACACCTGTGCAATAATCATGCTGTCTAATCAGCATCTTGATATGCCACACCTTTGAGGTGGGATGGATTATCTCGGCAAAGGAGAAGTGCTCACTATCACAGATTTTTCCAGATTTGTGAACAATATTTGAGAGAAATGGTTATTTTGTGTATATAGAAAATGTTTTAGATCTTTGAGTTCATCTCATGAAAAATGGGAGCAAAAACAAAAGTGTTGCGTTTATATTTTTGTTCAGTGTAGTTCACATTTCAAACACTCTCCCTGAATTAGTTCTGTAACACATCATCTTTGACTGACTCTGTTCTGACTGAAGAGAACCTGTGGACACAAACACTAGCGGACATACTCGTTCCAGGCTGTCTTTATCAGTCTTCAGGTCCTGCACTTCCTCCTCCATGTTGTTGACTCTCAGCTCCATCTCTTTACGTCTTTGCTTCTCTGAGCGGTACTGAGCCTGGGCCCTCTCTGCTGCCTCCTTCAGCTCTGGAACACACATTACATGTTAGTCACACACATTACATGTTAGACACACACATTACATGTTAGTCACACACATTACATGTTAGTCACACACATTACATGTTAGACACACACATTACATGTTAGTCACACACATTACATGTTAGTCACACACATTACATGTTAGACACACACATTACATGTTAGACACACACATTACATGTTAGTCACACACATTACATGTTAGTCACACACATTACATGTTAGTCACACACATTACATGTTAGACACACACATTACATGTTAGACACACACATTACATGTTAGACACACACATTACATGTTAGACACACACATTACATGTTAGTCACACACATTACATGTTAGTCACACACATTACATGTTAGACACACACATTACATGTTAGACACACACATTACATGTTAGACACACACATTACATGTTAGACACACACATTACATGTTAGACACACACATTACATGTTAGACACACACATTACATGTTAGACACACACATTACATGTTAGACACACACATTACATGTTAGACACACACATTACATGTTAGACACACACATTACATGTTAGACACACACATTACATGTTAGACACACACATTACATGTTAGACACACACATTACATGTTAGACACACACATTACATGTTAGACACACACATTACATGTTAGACACACACATTACATGTTAGACACACACATTACATGTTAGACACACACATTACATGTTAGACACACACACACACACACACACACACACACACACACACACACACACACACACACACACACACACACACACACACACACACACACACACACACACACACACACACACACACACACACACACACACACACACACACACACACCACACACACACACACACACACACACACACACACACACACACCACACACACACACACACACACACACACACACACACACACACACCACACACACCACACACACACCACACACCTTCCTAGTAATCCCTAATGGCCTTTGGTCAGTTATGGCGCATTTCCACCGCAGGCCTCGCTCGACTTAGTACGGTTTTGTTAGGCCCGGCTCACTTTAATGCTGCGCTTCCATTACAGTTTAGGAGCTGGGGCAGTAACTATAGTAACGCAGTGTAGGCGGAGCCGTGACGTGATCTTCAATGAGCACCCCAGAAAAACAACATCAGCCATTAGCTGTTAGCACTCAAGCTCACAGCTCCTCATATCTGTTCAGAAACTGTACAAAAGTTAAACAAGTACAAACCACAGACTCTCTGTGGCATGGAGAATACAGTCGCTGCTTTATTTATGTCTGTATAGGCCGTTGTTGTGAGTGTGGACGGTCGGAGTACATTTTTAAACGATTTTTGGTCGAGCCAAAGAGCTGTACATATAATAAAAATACCCTACAGTAAAGACACTTTACAGCAAATACAACAGCACAGTTTGTGCAGAATATCAGTATGAGAAAACGACACCCTCTGTCCTTAGACCCTCACATCGTACAAGGAAAAACTTCCAGAGAAAACCCACAGTTTAAAGGGAAAAATGGGAGAAACCTCAGGGAGAGCAACAGAGGAGGGATCCCTCTCCCAGGACGGACAGACGTGCAATAGATGCCGTGTATAAATCAAAGAGATAATACATTTTACAGCATATAGACCGAATGTTAGGAAATGCATGTGTCTGTAATAAGAAGATGCATCACGCATTTTAAAAGGGTTTTTTGCCTGCCGTCTGTCTGCAGACTTGTCAAAGCATTAATTCATGGTTTTTACTAACCAGTATCAGTATGTTGTTACTTTGGCATCATTTTGAAACGTGTATTACAATTAAATCACGGTCAAATATGTTCATCTTGTTGTAGTTGTAGCCCCCTTGCCAGCGATTCTCTCTTAGCAAACTCAGCCCGACTCAGCCCTGTTTGTTGGCCCCGACAGAACCACGATTTTGTCGGGCCAGAAAAAAGGTGAAAAAGTAGCCCCGGGCCGGAACTAGGCATAGTGGAAACGCAACCAAAAACGGGCCCGGCACGACACGGCACGCTTAAACCGCGCCATGGTGGAAATGCGCCATTAGTGTGTTACATTCTTGGTTACCAACATTCAGTCTTCTACACTCGGGTCCATGTTCATGCTACAAGAAGATACCTTCATCTGACTGTTGACATGTTTCTTGTAAAAAGTCAGTTTTTCACACACCAGAATCATAGTGTTATTCAGGTGATGATGAAGACAGGCAGGGGCAGACTGGCCATTGGGAGAACCGGTAACGAAGTGGGCCCGTTGACAATTGACTAACGGTACCGAGTTGGGCCGGTCGAGTTTCCCGGGCTGATGTTTAGTCCCAGTCCGCCCCTGAAGACAGGTCAGGGTGAACCCCAAGCTAAGATTCACATGACTCCATTCTTTAGACTAGAGCAGTGGTTCTCAAACTTTTTCTGTCAGGCCCCCCCTTTGGAGAAAAAAAAAAGTCGGGCCCCCCCAACACAAATAGTCAGGCTCAGTGGCGGCGCCAGAGATTTATTTTGGGGGTGCTGTGGGGTAGCTTGACGTTTCATAGAAGGTGCTCAAACATTTAGGGTTTCCCATTAATGTACCGGTTGCTACAGAGGAATGTTCTACTGCAACACTCCCCACGCAAATACACAGTGTGACAGTTACAATGAAGGCTCGATAATCAGCTCACGGCATATAGGTGTACACAGGGGTAAAGTGCTATTTTTATAAGTGGGGAGTGGACCTCACATAGGGGGGTCCGGGGGCAAGCTCCCCCGGGAAGATGTATTTCTAAATATTGAAGTTAAAAGCATCACTCTGGTGCACTTTGAGAGCAAAATGAAGAGATCTATGGATACATCTCTCAACACCCATTTGAAACAGAACTGTAAACAGATTTACTTTTTCTTTATGGATATTTTACAAATCACCCTTTTAAACTTTATTATTTTTTTACTGTCATATAGTATTTCATACCTGTTTTTCATTTATTCTCTTATTTTTTTATAACTATAATGATCATATAAACGTGTGCCTCGGAAATAATTGTTTACATCAAAACGTTTGAGACCCACTGATATAACTTAGACTAAAGTTAACTATCTAAACACTCAGAGAGTCCTTTAGTTCACTGAGCCTCTCAGTCTGACAGGAGGACTCTTTTGCTTTAATGAAACAGAGACCCAGACGTAATAGTACTGTACTGTATCATATTCTTTTCGAATCAAGAATTTTTCAAATTATGATTTTTTATTATTTTTTTTAAATCTTTTTTTTTGTATTGACCATTTTTCCTCCTGGTCTCTCGCGCCCCACCTGTCATGCCTCTGTGCCCCCCACTTTGAGAACCACTGGACTAGAGGCACCGATACCAATCCCATTGCAGACCAAAGCCTGGAAAGATGTATCGACTAACAACTGCTATGTATTATGTCTGATATATTTTACTCCTCTGTCCAACACAGTAGGTTATTTTCCTGCATTCACTTGCTGTAGCTGGAAACACTCAGAGAGCACAACATGTAAATAAATCTGCTGCTGAAAATATTCCCAAACAAATGCACTATTTCTTCTTGCGTAATGTTTCATTAAAAAACTACAGCAGCTGTTCTATAAAAACGAAAAACTTGGGAGAAATGTTTGTCTTTAGTCGGAAGTTGGGTCGCAATGAGAGACAGACTAACAGTGCTGGTTTTGGTCTTATAAGTGACTACCTCCAGATCTGTCTACACACAAAACATTCAATTGTAGATTAATCGTCTAAAGAAAATAGTCCCCAACAAATGCTCTAATTCCTTTAGTTTGAGTATTTGAAAGCTACAGTGGCAGCTGTCACAGGAAATACAGTGGGGCAAAAAAGTATTTAGTCAGCCACCAATTGTGCAAGTTCTCCCACTTAAAAAGATGAGAGGCCTGTAATTTTCATCCTAGGTATACCTCAACTGAGAGACAGAATGGGGGGAAAGAAATCCAGAAAATCACATTTAAAAAAAATAAGTATTTGGTCAATAACAAAAGTTCATCTCAATACTTTGTTATATACCCTTTGTTGGCAATGACAGAGGTCAAACGTTTTCTGTAAGTCTTCACAAGGTTTTCACACACTGTTGCTGGTATTTTGGCCCATTCCTCCATGCAGATCTCCTCTAGAGCAGTGATGTTTTGGGGCTGTCGCTGGGCAACACGGACTTTCAACTCCCTCCAAAGATTTTCTATGGGGTTGAGATCTGGAGACTGGCTAGGCCACTCCAGGACCTTGAAATGCTTCTTACGAAGCCACTCCTTCATTGCCCGGGCGGTGTGTTTGGGATCATTGTCATGCTGAAAGACCCAGCCACGTTTCATCTTCAATGCCCTTGCTGATGGAAGGAGGTTGTCACTCAAAGTCTCACGATACATGGCCCCATTCATTCTTTCCTTTACACGGATCAGTCGTCCTGGTCCCTTTGCAGAAAAACAGCCCCAAAGCATGATGTTTCCACCCCCATGTCTCACAGTACGTATGGTGTTCTTTGGATGCAACTCAGCATTCTTTCTCCTCCAAACACGTCTAGTTGAGTTTTTACCAAAAAGTTCTATTTTGGTTTCATCTGACCATATGACATTCTCCCAATCCTCTTCTGGATCATCTAAATGCTCTCTAGCACACTTCAGACGGGCCTGGACATGTACTGGCTTAAGCAGGGGGACACGTCTGGCACTGCAGGATTTGAGTCCCTGGCGGCGTAGTGTGTTACTGATGGTAGCCTTTGTTACTTTGGTCCCAGCTCTCTGCAGGTCATTGACTAGGTCCCCCCGTGTGGTTCTGGGATTTTTGATCACCGTTCTTGTGATCATTTTGACCCCACGGGGTGAGATCTTGCGTGGAGCCCCAGATCGAGGGAGATTATCAGTGGTCTTGTATGTCTTCCATTTTCTAATAATTGCTCCCACAGTTGATTTCTTCACACAAACCTGCAGATTCAGTCTTCCCAGCCTGGTGCAGGTCTACCATTTTGTTTCTGGTGTCCTTTGACAGCTCTTTGGTCTTGGCTATAGTGGAGTTTGGAGTGTGACTGTTTGAGGTTGTGGACAGGTGTCTTTTATACTGATAACGAGTTCAAACAGGTGCCATTAATACAGTTAACGAGTGGAGGACAGAGGAGGCTCTTAAAGAAGAAGTTACAGGTCTGTGAGAGCCAGAAATCTTGTTTGTTTGTAGGTGACCAAATACTTATTTTACCGAGGAATTGACCAATTAATTCATTAAAAATCCTACAATGTGATTTCCTGGATTATTTCCCCCCATTCTGTCTCTCATAGTTGAAGTGTACCTAGGATGAAAATTACAGGCCTCTCTCATCTTTTAAGTGGGAGAACTTGCACAATTGGTGGCTGACTAAATACTTTTCTGCCCCACTGTATATAATTGAGCCTTTTGAAAAATTAAACATTTGAGACCTGTTTTGAAAGATACATATTTTCATTATATATTAATGCATCTTCCCCTCACTATGTGTAAAAGAAACATTACATGAGATGAGACTGAGCAGGATTCTTTCACCTGGCTAACACATAATAGGTCAAAGCACGTATGCAAAGCAGCACAAAGGCCTGGAGGACAAACTCCACTGACCTCTGAAGTGAGTGTAACCACGAACATTCTGTTGGTTATTAACTTCTGCTTTTGGAGGCTGCTCTTTTCTACTGCTGTTGATTGTACTGCTTTTTACAGAGAGTAAATAGTTTGTCCACCAATTCATAATAATGATTGTAGAATGCATCAGTCTGCTCTTTGGTCATAACGTTGAACACCTCTCTAAAACAGTTCCAACAAGCTGAAGACTACACTGTTCATGAAGTAAGGATTTATTGCAGGATTGTTGCTTTAAATCAATAATAAGTAGGGATGGGTATCGTTTGAAATGTATCGGTTCTTATCGATTCCGATTCCGGTTCTTATCGATTCCCCCATTTCGATTCCAAAATTGTAAAAGAAAGAGGTCAAACCTTTAGATAACAAAAATATCTTTATTCTTTTAAGCTTTAACTGACATTTTTACAAATAAAAAAATATACATGCAAAACAAATGTATTGCACAATAGCTGTGCTTTATTTGAACTGAGCTATGCCTGTGGCAAGCTATTAACAGGCATTACACTGTGCCTTGTCTTTTTCTTTTTTAGTGGAGTGGAGCCTCACCTCAGAGCGTTTACCGCGACCCATCTTTGGTGTTATGAAGTGACTGAGCTCGTGAACTGTCTACGGGACGGCGGGGGGAGCCTCGCTGCGGGGGACCTCTGTCGCCTGTCAGCGCAACTTACATGATGCCGTTTAAAAAAATGAAGGGCGGTGCCGGCCGTCAGCGTACCGAGCCGCCCGTCACCGGCCCGCTGACGACCGGCCGTTCTGTGATTCTCCAGAACACACAGATGGCCAGTCCGCCTACCCTGTATTCCACCGGGTCACCGCAGCGCAGACGGACCCGGTGGAATACAGGGTCTACCGCGTCTAGGAACCGTTAAGCAGAACATAAATTGTGTATTTTGTATGGGTACCCGGTACCCGGCATTTTCTTATCGGTTCTCATCTGGAACCGAGTTTCTGTTCCCAACCCTAATAATAAGTAGTATAGCACTAACCTTCCAGCTGTGTTTCCATGGCAGCGATGCAATGGCAGTGCCTCTCGCTGTCCTGCAGAGCTGAGATCAGTTTGTTCTGCAGCTCCGCCGCCTTCTGCTGCTGAGCTGCGGCTTCCAGCTGCAGCTGAGACATCTGGGCCGTGGAGGCAGTCAGATCCTCCGTCAGACGCACCTGATGGAGACGCAGAGAGGGAGGTGTGAGAGGGGGGGGGGGGTACCAGTGACTACAGTGAAGCGAAGCCCAGGTCACACAGACAATGGAACAACAAAGAGAGGCCTAATGAGTGGCTCCGGGTGCTGGTGAGTGAGCAGCATGACCCTGTGGGAGGAACATGGTGAGTGATGGCGGATGGAATAAGAGACAGGAGGAAAAAAGTTAGTTTTAATGTCAATGAAGTGTGACATAAACAGGATGAGCCAGGGGCAGCGTCAGATCTAGGTCAAATAGTAGCTGCATATGATACTTTTGGTGCCGAACAGTTGGAAATGGGGCTTGATCGGGATTAACCAGATCAGCTGTTAAATTCTAGAATTGCATCCAAAGTGATTGGGTTGATTTGAAACCTGTGACTTGTTTGGGAGACTGTCTGTTGTGCTCCTCAAAAAAGATTTCAGGAAGAGAGTGTTTATCTTCCTTCAAACTGTCCATGGTAAACTCAGTGAGGGTCTCTTAGCTTTGTGTGCTCAAAACAGAACATTTGCAGATACTATGTGACCCTGTCTGCTACAGAACACAGAGAAAACTGGCTCACCTGGCCCAGGTCCTGAGGCAGTGCATGCTGGAAAGAGAGAGCAGTAAATGCTAGATTTTCTTAAGAGCAGCACTGCAGCATAAGTAATCAGGCGCTGGCTGAGTTAAGTACGTATCATTAACATCAGAGGTGAAGCAGGAACAGAATGATTTAAAAAAACAACCCCAGCGTATTAAACAAGTTCCAGGTGGAACTAAAGTCTGATTTAACACTTGATTAGATTTCACATCATTCATCCACATCTGTGAAGTAACTAAAGGGATTAAATACATGTAGCGGAGTCAAAGTACACCATTTACCTCTGAACTGTAGTGGGGTAGAAATAAAAAGTAGCAACAAATTGAAATACTCAATAAAAGTAACTCAAAATTGTACTTAAATACAGTACTTGAGTAAATGTACTCAGGGGAGCAGCTGAGCACTGCTGTAAAGTAACTCTCACCTTGTCCTGCTCCGCCTGCAGCAGTCGGGCCTGGTTCTGCTCGCTGGAGGACTTGAGGGAGTCGTTCCTCTGCTCCATGACCAAGTGACTCTGCTCCATGTACCTGCAGTGCACACCAACAGCAGCACACAACACACCCAGCTCACTACACACACACTGACACTCTGCTCGAGCTGCAGTCAGTGTGGGCTTTTGACTGTCAGAGGGACAGTGAAGAGGGCATACTGTAAGACCTCTTCAATATTTTGAATTGTCATCTGCATACCAACCGCCTATCGTTTTTTTTAAATAGCAATGTGTGAGATCAGATAATAGCTTACACAAATCTTTAAGTCCATTAAAATCCCATTTTCATTCTTTTCATCATCCACCAATTTCAACGATGTTTCTAAGAAAATGAGACAATGTATTTTTTTAAATAAAATAATGTTTTTGGAACCATTATGAACTTAATGAATAAATGAAACACACCACTTAATGCTGCTATCAAACATAAGAGCTCCACGTGACAACTTTGACATGTATGACTGATGACACAGTGATGTCATGATGTTCTGTCTGTGACTCACCTCTGGTTCTGGTTGATGAGCTCCCCAATCTTACGGTTCTGCTCCTCAATACGAGAGCTTTTATCAAAGACTTCTTTTTTTAAACATTCATTTTCCTAAAAGGCAAAAATAAGCTTCAGGAATACAGTTGGAATTCTATCCCAGTACACCTATCTATTATTATGATATAAAAAAAAGTGGCTCCTAGAACACAAGGCAGCGTTTGTACCTGGACTATTCTTTGGATGTTGTGCATGATCATGGAGGTTTCCATAGACAAACTAGGAACAGCCACAGAAAGACTTCCATGCCTTTGAAGGTCATCTATCTGTCAAAACCAAAACATCAATACAAATCCAACCAGATGTTCTCCTTTCTATTAAAACATATTGAAACATATCTTAAACATATTGTAATTCACAGAGTTTATACCTTTGAGGCCAGTTGATCCACTTTATCTGCTACTTTTCCGACAGATAATCGGATCTCTGTGTTGTGTTGTCGGGCCTCAGTCATCAAGAAGGAAGTGACATCACTGGAGCCTGACCAGAACAAACCATCAGTTTAATTATCGAACTTTCACTATTGAAACCAAACACAAGTGTCCTGCAGCCGTGTAGTTATATTGATAAATGAGGCAGCGGTTGATCCTTATTGAATAGAACTCTTACCCATGTATGGAACAGGTTGTGCAGGATACACCTGGCCCACAGGCTGCAGCTGGGATGGAGCCCCAGAGCTCTGTGTGTAAGAGTAAGGCTGGAAGACAACAGAATGCACTGATATTACCACGTCTGTCCATGATGTACTTACTGATGTCAGTACCATATGTGGAGGAATCCCACCTGAAAGGCATGGCTGCTGCCTGTCAGTCCGGGCTGTGGGGCAGCAGTGCTCATAAAAGGAAGTAAGGCAGAAGGTGGAGCGGTGTGAGGATGTAGTGCAGGAGCAGCTGCTGGAGCAGAGGCGGAGATCTGCAGTGGAGACGGAGCAGCAGGCTGCTCCCTCTCTCTGCTGCCACTGGTGTCCTGGAGACCAACAGTGGCACAAAGTAAGTAGTGACACCACATTTATATAATCAGATATCATTCCTTAAAGTTAATAATCATTTAAAATGCAGTTGTTGTATTCCCATAAGGATGAAAGATTATCAAGAAACAGATACAAATGAAAGACGAAAGTCAGAGCAGCAGAGGCCGAAATATTCTTAGATGAGGTTTGGGTCAACCCCGAAAAGTGCCCCTTTAAGAATAACTGGTTGATTCCAAATGAATACAAACACAATACATATACTTCAAATGTGATTGAATCCCACTGTAAACAAGAGCACTTGAATAGAAGAGAGCCATTGTAAATATTTTAAGCAACACCTGTGCTTTACCTAGTATGACTAGTCAAAATGTCTTCTGTGGAAAGAGGCTTTTATTGACTAGTTGTCCATTTAAAAACACCCTATAAACATGATGTTTGCTCTGATAATTAGAACAGGAAAGCTGTTACATTCTTTCCCATTTTCTGAAAATAATACTCATGTGATTTGAATAGTTTTTTTGGCAACAATTGAGCTGAAAAACATTCATTGTCGGTCTTGGCCTCCTTATGGGTTTGTGGCAATAAGAGAAAATGATAACACTACCAGACATATTCTTTAACCCCCACATTGTGCCGACCTACCTCCAGCTCAGAATCACTGGACTCGGGCTGGCTGGCCCCCCCCGTCAGAAAGGGCAGCATAGGCTGGCCCATCTTCGCCATGCGAGAGATCAGTTTTGCTTTTGTGGCGTCTGGATTCTGAAGTGTGAAAAAGAAACCTTCCATCAATCCAGCTGCAAAGAAAATGCAATAAACATCACAAAACATTGTAAATAGGAAGAACGTCTGTGGGGGGGCTTACTGCCAGCTGTTCACTCAGAGAGTTTGACTTTGCACGAAGTGGTGGCTCCCTGCAAATCAAATAAAAAAAGGTCAAATAAAAATCATCTGAGGCAACAAAAGAATGATGGTTAATACTGTTTATTGTTTCCTGAGGCCTAAGACTCACCCTGGTCTGCCTGGACCGGAGGCTGTGGTCTGTGGGGGGGGCTCTAGGGCCACATTCTCCCCACTGGGGGCTGGGGAAGGAACTGGGGAGGGGGCAGCAGAGCCTCTGGTGCTGGCATTGGAACTAACAGACCCATTGTCCTTGGAAAACTTCACCTAAAGTGGAAGACGGGCAGAAAGATCTTCAGTCCCCACTGGCAACATGACGATCAATAGGAATAAAGTCAAAGACATGTACTAACGCAAGATAAGAACACTCATGATGTGAGCAAATATCAAATACAAGAGGTGAGTGTAGAAAAGTGTTCAGTGGGTGTTACCCGTCGAAGCTCCACTTCAAAAATCAGAGTGCTGTTAGCGGGGACGCGGTTGGGAACTCCTTTGGCTCCGTAGGCCTGGTCGGGGGGGACCACCACGAGACGACGGCCTGCCTTCTTCAGCCCCACCATCCCCTCCTCCCAGCCCTGCAGACCACACCAGGTCATAACACATACTGTTAGAAATGTAATGAATGGATGCCATAAGATGAACCTCATCTTCAACACTCCATCATAAATGAATGAAACTAAGCTTTCTGTTATGCTGGTTTTAGCCTTTACTAACCCCATCTCCACTAAAACAAAGTCTATATTTAAAGAATCTATAAATCAGTAACTGTGTATATTATTTGATTTCATTGCATACTATTCCAATATAAATATTTGCATATAAAGATATGTGTATGTAGTGTGAAGGGGCTATAAACCTTTACAGGGTTTTAAAGACTTAACAGATGTTTTAAAGGGGGTTGAACTTAAGCTGCTATTTCGATGAAGTGCATTTTGTATTAAACAAAGTGCTACTTTTTGATTCAGTCTTTATGTTTGGTGTTGTAGCCACAGTAATTGTTTAATGACATTGGTGCTATCTTGTCATCATTCATTTTTGATCAATTGTTGAGCAACTAAAATAGTCATGAAATGAACCCTGGTGTTGACTTACTTTGATCACTTTTCCAGCTCCAATTTTCAGGCGTAGCGACTTGTCCTTATTCTGGTTGGTGTCAAACATCTGAAGGATATCAAAGATTCAATGATGAGTGTGTCATGAAATCTACACAAAGCTGGAGAATGAATTGATGAAATAATGGTGGACGTCACCTCTCCGATGGTGTGGTTCTGAAGCAGCCAGCCTGTGTACACCACCTCCAGAGAGTCTCCATTCTCCACGGCCTGGCCTTCACCCAGACTCAGATCCTGGACCACCACGGCCTCCAGGGGGACGACGCTGTTTGCTTTCGCCAAACACACCTAAGAAAATAAAGCAATTCTTATTGAATAAACAGGACTCATGGTATTTGGAAAAAGCATGCATCTGTGGAGGTCAGAATGAAGCAGGGATCTGAAGAACAGTCCGGATCCACGTTAACAGACAGCTGGTTTCTTACGGTGTTATCATCTCCAGTTCAGGTCTGCTCCTGTGTCACTCACCTCTTTGCAGAAGTCTGATGAAGCTTTCTCCGATTCAAACATCAGGGACCAGTTCTGCCTCTGCTCATCATAAAAAGTGCAGTAATTGTTTGGCTGTACCTGCAGAGAACCAACATGAGGAAGAACACATTAGTTCATCACGCAGCATTTCATCTGCAACTTGCTCCCTAGTTTACAAGTGACACACTCTTATTTATTCACAGCGACAGACTGATAGGGAGTGTGGACACTGCTGCCAAACGTATGGTTCTTATTTCAAAAGGTCTTTATAAATATCTAATGAAGATGTATTTACTAAAGCCAATAAGAGTTCTTCTTTTTGCTTCTGGTAATGTATTTTCTAAATCTGATCTCAATAGTTTTCCCTTTAGTGTTTATGACTGGAGAAAAAGCAAATATAAACGTTTTTATTCCAGTTGAATCTTTCTTTCTTTTCCCATGTATGAAATATGACTAAAAGCTATACATTTTATTCTAGACAAAGGAAGACATGACAGTGATGTTATATAAGTTGCAAACACACAATATATGTAGCTTGTGTTGAGGTTACAGGAGGAATTAAGAAGTGTCCAGGAAGGAAACATGAATAATGTTGTCCTCTTTAGAACATGAGGTCGTGGAGCACGTCCAACTGTCGAGGCCAAAAGGACTATTACATGAACTCACAACTGGAAACATGTATAATGCCACCTTTTCAAACTTTCCAAAAGTCCAAAAAATGGACAGAAAGCAGATCATCAGAATGTATTTCCCCTGCTGATCAGAGCGTCCGTACTTCTGTTATTTGTATACTCTTTTAGAGCCATGGGAAGAGGACCTTCATACCCTTTATGATGAACATGATTGTATTAGATCATATAGCATGTCAAATAGAATTATAAATAAACCGCACAACTAATAAATCCCCCTGGTGCATGGAGTGTAAACTGAGAGCTGGAATGTGTATTGGCCAAAGAGAGAAGTAGAATTTTAAAGCACAATATTTGTAAAGATGCAGACCCTGTTGTTTATCAGCAAGGTAATGTATGCTATTTAACCATAGCCATAAATAACCTCAGGCCAGGTGGTAGCACACAACACAAGAGCCACAAATGCATTAGAAACGAAAAACAACGTAAAAATAACAAAAAGATCTCTTAACATTTGGAGAAAATTCATTTTGGATAATTCATTCAATCTTAAAATAATAGTATTTTTTATAAGCTTTTGTTATTTTATTTATTTGTATGTCTGCTTATCATTTTCTTGTTATATAATCATTCTACAGTTTTCATTTTGTGATTTCACTGGGATTCAAAAATGTGTAAGCAGTTTCAATACATTTCAATAAAGCCCCGCCCACAGCCAGGAAACAGGAGCTCCGATTGGCCAGCTGTGTCTGTGGGCAGGAGTCACATGACATTTCTGGAACGGGAATAGGTGCTGTCTCTCTATAGTAAAACACTTTTCTATAACAAATACTCCAAGGCACTTACACAGTAATAAAGACAGTAACAGGAAGTGTAAACACTACAGATAGAAGGGGGTTCAACCAGGGGAAGAGATGGCTTTAATATGCTGTTAATATAGCACATGATAATAATGTAGTTTGTGGTCACTCTGATCAATATTTATTCAAACCCCCAATAGAAACCTGACAATAAATCCCTTTTTGGAGCAGAAGGCTGTGGCCATAAGTGACCATACCTCCAGTTGCTGTATTTCCTTTAAAACCATAGCTATATATTATAGGGTTACTACTTGAAGTAACATTATATGATTTAAATAGCAGTGGCTTTATTAGGGTAAGCGCCAGGCCTTGTTTTAAGTGTGTGTTCAAATATTGTCTGTGGGACAGCAGTGTGTGTGTGTGTGTGTGTGTGTGTGTGTGTGTGTGTGTGTGTGTGTGTGTGTATATATTTACTGCAGACTAATGCATACGGAAGAAAGACAAATATCTGCTGGCTATGATTGGTTCTTCCTTGTCACATGACATGTGGGTCCCAGTCTGAAAAAAGCACCTTTCACAAGTCTAAATGGAAAACAGTGGATTGGACAGAAAACGCAACATATGTGCGAACCCTATCAGATCAAGTAAAACTTTGTGCGGTTTGTGACCGTTAGTTTCACCTTGTTCCGTTAGAAGTTTTCAGATGTACAAATGATCGAACCGTGTTAGTGTTCCCCATTATGCGCCCTCAGTGTAAGGTGTGATACATCACATTATCTGTCCAGGTGTGTTCAACACCCTTTATGTGTTTACTCACCGTGAAAACAAAGCCCAAATGAATCTTGGCCGCCGCCACTTGTTTCTGTTGGCTCAAGTACAGAAGCAGCTTGTACTGCAGAAAAAAAGAGGTGCACTTTTTGTAAAAATCAAAAGTCACATCAATAATCTGAAACAAGTGACCAATTAGCAGACCTCCGACCTCTTTTGTTGAGTGGTTGCCCAGCACAGCTGCTCCCAGCTTCCCCTGCTTCACATACTGTCCGTTAATACTGCACAAGGGACACAAGGGGAGAACATCCTTGTACATACATACGTATTCATGAAGGGAGTGAATAGCCGCAGCCCACATAAAACAAAGTTACAGTAATACAGAATTGACAGTAAATGGGATTAGACTATACAAACTGGGAGCTCACTATCTGAAGGCCTGGACTGCTGTGGCCAATAACACTGCAGGAGCTCCGGGGGGAAGAGAAGCTTTCTGGGAGGCTGCTGCTGTAAACGGACAAAAAGACACATTGGGATCAACCTCATCATGGCTGAATCTGACATCACTGCTGTTTCTATTCACGTTGTCTTACCAGAAGTGAAGCTCTTTTTCGGCTGCTTCGGTGCCGTGTACTGGAAGGACTCATTTCCCTGACTGCCTTCCTGGTCTAGTCCAAACAGGGAGGCCAATTTGGCCCTGCAGAACAAGGGTAACGATCATTGACATAAACTTCTGTTTCATGAACCGTATGAGCCACTCTTTGGGTACGGTCGCTCATAGAAAAAAAACATCATGGCCCCTCAGGTATGAGACAGGACTGTGCAGTCAGGCTGCTTCCTGCTCAAAGGGGGAAATTGCTCAAACAATACATTTCATTTAGTTGAAGCTTTTATCAAAAGGACTTTCAATAAGTGAAATCAACCATAACACACTCAGAACAGCCAGAGTCCTGCAGGTACATCAGCCTGTCCTCTTCATTTCAGGGGCGTGCCACACTTCCAACAGTTCAGTCCACATGAAGTCTGCCCAGCTGTCATCAAGGCAGCATCAGGGCCATGGCAGTGAAGCAAAACTCCTTCACCAAACCTCAACGTCTATGCACCATCTTTACTGTATGTCTTTCCTTTGAGCAGATTAGGTTGCTCAGCATCATGGAGCCACATGTTTCAACCTCCCCAGGTCATCATCCATTTGTGTGTCATTTTGCACCGATATAACAAAATGTGAAGCAGCACATTTTTATACCGGAAGGAAAACTTGGATGTGTCTGTAAATAAAACAATATGATCCACATATTGACAAGTGTATTCAGGAGACAACCATCACTAAGTTATTACATGGAACATCCTTACAACTACTACCTCATCATAGGCACCAGTTTCATTATCTGCTACAGTTGAAGTCCAGCTAGCATGTACTAACCCCTGGAACTCCTTCCACTGGTAATCACTGGAATCTCCTGGAGCCGACATGTTGGAGGCCTCGAGGCCCTCATCACCCACGGTAAAGAACTCGGAGGAGTAGAGTCTGTTTGCATGCGAGTCAAACTCCTTCTAGCAGTGCCTCAGTCCTGGGTCAGCCTGATCCCTCGCCCCCCAACGCTCTCACACCATCGTGGTAGATTCAACAGCATAGCACATTGCTGGGTCTCCACTGAGCACAGATGGGCTGAGGCAAAAAGCTTCACCTTACTCCTCTAACAGGCAGCATGTGATAGGAATTAGCCGCCATAACCCCCTCCCTCCAGAACATGCCCTATACTGGCTGCTTATTCCCCCACACACTGTGCTGCCATCACACAATGGCCACACAGAGCAGAGAGCACGGCTGTCAGTCTGAGAATGTGGCAAAGCTGGAACTAAATGCATCATAATTGAGAGCCAAGGTATATTAATAGTAAACTAGTCGTAACAAAAGCATCACAGTTTGGAGTCCTCAAACTTCTTATTTGTCAACATCAGAACTTCCTTTTGAAATGGCCTGCCGTTACAAAATGGACGTAAAGAAAGTGCATTATAAAAAATAATGTATTCCTCAGTCTATATAACTGGCACGTCGAGTAGGCTAGTAGAAATGTGATTCAAACATTACGTTTATAACAGGGGTCAGGTTTATCAGACGATCATTGAAAACTCCCCGAGAGAGTTTGGAAGTTATGAAATAATCTTTGCTGAGGCACAGAGCCAGAGGGGATGTGAAGGCATGACACAACATCCTCACCAGAGAGAAGACATGACACACCATCCTCACCAGAGAGAAGGCATGACACACCATCCTCACCAGAGAGAAGGATGACCCCCCCCCCCATCCTCACCAGAGAGAAGGCATGACACACCATCCTCACCAGAGAGAAGGCATGACACACCATCCTCACCAGAGAGAAGCATGACACCACCATCCTCACCAGAGAGAAGACATGACACACCATCCTCCACCAGAGAGAAGGCATGACACACCATCCTCACCAGAGGAAGAAGACATGACACACCATCCTCACCAGAGAGAAGGCACTGACCACACATCCTCACCAGAGAGAAGTCATGACACACCATCCTCACCAGAGAGAAGGCATGACACACCATCCTCACCAGAGAGAAGTCATGACACACCATCCTCACAGAGAGAAGTACATGACACACCATCCTCACCAGAGAGAAGCATGACACACACTCCTCACCAGAGAGAAGTCATGACACACCATCCTCACCAGAGAGAAGTCATGACACACCATCCTCACCAGAGAGAAGGCATGACACACCATCCTCACCAGAGAGAAGTCATGACACACCATCCCTCACCAGAGAGAAGGCATGACACACATCCTCACCCAGAGAGAAGAAGTCATGACACACCATCCTCACCAGAGAGAAGACATGACACACCATCCTCACCAGAGAGAAGACATGACACACCATCCTCACCAGAGAGAAGGCATGACACACCATCCTCACCAGAGAGAAGACATGACACACCATCCTCACCAGAGAGAAGGCATGACACACCATCCTCACCAGAGAGAAGGCAGACACACCATCCTCACCAGAGAGAAGACATGACACACCATCCTCACCAGAGAGAAGGCATGACACACCATCCTCACCAGAGAGAAGGCTGACACCACCCTCCTCACCAGAGAGAAGACATGACACACCATCCTCACCAGAGAGAAGACATGACACACCATCCTCACCAGAGAGAAGACATGACACACCATCCTCCACCAGAGAGAAGACATGACACACCATCCTCACCAGAGAGAAGACATGACACCCACCATCCTCACCAGAGAGAAAGGACATGACACACCATCCTCACCAGAGAGAAGGCATGACACACCATCCTCACCAGAGAGAAGGCATGACACACCATCCTCACCAGAGAGACGGCATGACACACAATCCTCACCAGAGAGAAGACATGACACACCATCCTCACCAGAGAGAAGGCATGACACAACATCCTCACCAGAGAGAAGACATGACACACCATCCTCACCAGAGAGAAGGCATGACACACCATCCTCACCAGAGAGAAGACATGACACACCATCCTCACCAGAGAGAAGACATGACACACCATCCTCACCAGAGAGAAGGCATGACACACCATCCTCACCAGAGAGAAGACATGACACACCATCCTCACCAGAGAGAAGGCATGACACACCATCCTCACCAGAGAGAAGGCATGACACACCATCCTCACCAGAGAGAAGACATGACACACCATCCTCACCAGAGAGAAGACATGACACACAATCCTCACCAGAGAGAAGACATGACACACAATCCTCACCAGAGAGAAGACATGACACACCATCCTCACCAGAGAGAAGACATGACACACAATCCTCACCAGAGAGAAGACATGACACACCATCCTCACCAGAGAGAAGACATGACACACCATCCTCACCAGAGAGAAGGCATGACACACCATCCTCACCAGAGAGAAGACATGACACACCATCCTCACCAGAGAGAAGAAGACATGACACACCATCCTCACCAGAGAGAAGACATGACACACCATCCTCACCAGAGAGAAGACATGACACACCATCCTCACCAGAGAGAGACATGGACACACCATCCTCACCAGAGAGAAGACATGACACACCATCCTCACCAGAGAGAAGGCATGACACACCATCCTCACCAGAGAGAAGGCATGACACACCATCCTCACCAGAGAGAAGGCATGACACACCATCCTCACCAGAGAGAAGACATGACACACCATCCTCACCAGAGAGAAGGCATGACACACCATCCTCACCAGAGAGAAGACATGACACACCATCCTCACCAGAGAGAAGACATGACACACCATCCTCACCAGAGAGAAGACATGACACACCATCCTCACCAGAGAGAAGGCATGACACACCATCCTCACCAGAGAGAAGACATGACACACCATCCTCACCAGAGAGAAGACATGACACACCATCCTCACCAGAGAGAAGGCATGACACACCATCCTCACCAGAGAGAAGACATGACACACCATCCTCACCAGAGAGAAGGCATGACACACCATCCTCACCAGAGAGAAGGCATGACACACCATCCTCACCAGAGAGAAGTCATTGACACACCATCCTCACCAGAGAGAAGGCATGACACACCATCCTCACCAGAGAGAAGACATGACACACCATCCTCACCAGAGAGAAGGCATGACACACCATCCTCACCAGAGAGAAGGCATGACACACCATCCTCACCAGAGAGAAGACATGACACACCATCCTCACCAGAGAGAAGGAAAGCAGTGCAGGTATATCTGAAAGAAGTTTAGACAAAGATCTAGGCTCTAGATGCTGTGTTATACATTTTCTTTTTGTAGAATGAAAGTACTTTCTAGCCGTTAACGAACATGGTACAAATAAATGAAATGAACTTGCAGCTTCCCTAAACTGTCCCACTTTCTTATTTAGAAGTTTAAAAAAATCATGAAATATCTGGTAGTTTAATGAGAGCAACCTTTATGAATATTTCACTGATTTCAGTTTTATTTTATTTTTGCATCTGTACATTGATATAATATATTCAATAGAGATACTCTAGGTATATTGATATATAAATATGCACTGTTCTGTTTATTATTATTTTTACTGATATATTTGCTGTTTATTTTGTATTTGATTTCCTTTTTATTTCATGTGCAATGCTTGTCTACATGCTGCTGTGATCAAATCATTTCCAAAACTGGGATCAATCAAAGTATATCTTATCTTTATTTATCTAAAATGTGTATTCTATTGAAATGCTTCATTGTGCTTCACTTGGCATTGTGGGAGAAGAACAATAATGGACAACTCTCATTGCAAAGTGTTCTTATGTAGGCCGAACAACCTATCCCTTATCTTTGTAAAGCTCAGGCTGAGTTGTTCTCTCCTACTAACAGGGTCAACATAAATAGCCTGGTTTGAAATGGAATGTGGCTAAATCACGAGCCCAGCTAAGCCCGGCTAATGCTGGTAAGCTAGTTAGCTGAGAGGCTAAAGGCATTAGCTTGGCTGAGAAACACACTCACCCTCCTGCGGGAGACAGGAAGTCCCCGTCCTCATCGTCCCCCCCCGAACATCTTCAGCCGGACCCCTTTCTTAATAAATAAAACAAGTGTACAAATGAGTTAGCTATTTTACATGACAGGTTTCCGAATTGTGACTTCCTCTTCCTGTTTGTGAGAAGAATCAGCTGACTCCACCTGACCTGAGTTCAGTTCGCTGCAGCTCCACCGGAGGGCGCCAGAGACCCTCACAAAGATCTGTCTCAGCTGGAACAGGACTGTATCAGGGCTAGAACAGGACTGCAGTGGTGTAAAGTCACTAAGTACATTTACTCAAGTACTGTACTTAAGTAACATTTTGAGGTACTTGTACTTTACTTGAGTATTTAAATGTTTTGCTACTTTAAACTTCATTATTATTATTACTCCACTACAATTCAGAGGTAGATCGTGTACTTTTACTCCACTACATGTACTTAATACCGTTAGTTACTTATTACAGATATTACATTTCATTTAGCTGACGCTTTTATCCAAAGCGACTTACAATGACCGATTACAGGGACATTCTCCCTGGAGTAACTATGGGCTAAGCGCCTTACTCAAGGGCACACTAGTGGTGGTGATCCAGGCGGGATTTGAACTCACAATCTTCCGATCTTCAGCCCACCTCACTTATCCATTAGACCACTACTACCCTACTTCACAGATGTGGATGAATGATGTGAAATCTAATCAAGTGTTAAATCAGACTTTAGTTCCACCTGGAGTAAATCCACCAGCTACCCTGCAGTATACAAAGTCTTTCAAACTAGCTGCACCTTTACCAGCTTTGAGAACACTTCATGATCAATCATTATAAAACATATCATATATATTATTCTGAAATGGACCAATCAAACAATGACTACTTTCACTGTCGCTACTTTAAATATATTTGGGCAGATACTTTTGTACTTTTACTTGAGTAACCTATTGATTGCAGGACTTTTACTGTAACAGAGTATTCCTACTCTCTCTGAGGTCTGAGTACTTGTCCCACCTCTGCAGGACTGCATCAGGACTATAACAGGACTGTTATTGCTGAGGAAATCGCTGATCAGTCATCCAGTAGATGACAAATAAAGAAAACAGAGAAAAGCTTAAAATGGCTAATAACAGAGAAGTGAATTCATTTGAAACTCCCATATGTTTGAAAGATATTGGCAAAGAGCCTCAAACGTGCTAAAAACTGCACAAAATGCATCAACTGAAAGCTACCATCTTTAGGTGTGTTGGTGTGGATCATTCCTGCACTTACAATTGAAAAGCTGATACAACATATTCTCACACTTTTAATTCTACTTTTCCTTCCTACATTTTTTCATGGCAAGTCTACATTTTTAAATGTTTATTATATAAATACTTTAAAACAAATGTAACATATTTCTACATTGCATTTTAGTAATACTTTTATATTTTAGAGTTGAAATTATCATCTGCAATTGTATACCTGGGACACATTTCATCAAATAAAATGTTTCTGAGTGAGGTGTGCATGTGGCCTGGAACTTAGGATGGCACAGGACACAGACAGTGTTAGTGTTCTCCCACCAACCACTCATTAAATGCTTTTCTATCATCATCAATGCAAAAATAGATCTCATTAAAATAACATACACAGCCTATTTCATATTTCCGTCTATGGTAATTCAGTCTAAGGATCATGACTCCCCTCTCTGCCAAGTTCATTTAAAGAGCTACATTGTTTGGCTGGACTCCAAATAGCATGTTGATCTGTCATAACATTGTTTCAGTGTTGGTCACACAGATCTAATACACTCTCATCTGAAGTGTGAGCATTAGTGTGTGGATGAACACTGTCGCTGGAGGATGCTTGACTTGGACTCATCTCCCACACCTCTCATACTTTAAATCCATCCACTGTTCAAGATGGTCCTGAGCAAATTGCCACCATCTGTTTAATATGTGTTGTCCTTGGCCTGAGCATCTGTTGGCATGCAGCACATTTGAAATGGTTCCAGCTATTGGAGCTGGATGTGCCATGACTGTTAGCTTCTTAGCTTCTACTTCTTAAATAGAAACTTACAATGCTTACAACAATGTGTTCTCTACTGACAGCCTCATAGTTGTAAACAACTCGTTCATTGTTAGCCATGCTGAGTGAACCACTTGTATTCACACTAAAATGTCTCAACAGTTATTGAATGGATTTCCATGACATTTGATTCAGATACTCATGGTGCTCAGAGGATAAGTCTTCAGGACTCTTTTCTCTAGCCACACCATGAGGTTCACTTGAGTCCAAAATGTCAAACTTCTTTCCAATTTGCTGGTGATATGTTGACACTTTGTAAAAGGACAGTTCTGAGTCAAATATACTTTCAAACATACTAAAAGTCCTTCTAAAGAGGTTTTTATTCTTTTTTAACATTGACAAATGTCATATTTCATTAAAAGAACATAAGGTGGGAAGTTCAATTATTATAAACATATAAGAAAAGTTGATTATTGTATCGTGCATAATATAGTGTACAAGGGAGAGACACGTTAACAGTTCATGATAGAACAAAGGTGTGCACATATAACAACTGTTCTGCTAGAGAATCAGTTTGACATGATACAATAATCCCAAATTCACTCATTTAGATTCCTTTGATTCATTCCTGCCGTTTGAGATCAGAAGATGAAACATATTTTGCGCTCTATTACATTGTAATGAAAACTGGCCTGTTGAATTGCCGAATGAGAGATTTCAGTATTGGCTACAGGCTGGTCGGCTACAGACATCGCAACTGCCTTTAGAGTTCCATTTGGTTTGAGCATCATTTCATTCACCCGCTGCATGAAACAGAGTCAAATAATAAGGAAACCATAAGAATCCTGTAACTTCTTGACTATGTTATCAATGTATTTTGGTTCACAGTTCATGCAGAATGTTAACTCTGCGCTGTTTTGTATCCGTGGAAATGTAGTTGTCCATATGACAGAAACATCTAGGTAGTTAAGTCATGTTGCCGTTTGTAATGCAGCTCAGTCAGCACAGACACACAGGACCATTAAATACAATCATTTGTTCTTTACTCTCTTTCTGTATTTACATTTTACAGCAATATTACTTTAGATTTATGGCATATAACCATCTTTTGCCTATCAAAAATATACAAAAATAAAATTGTATGTCCTCTTCCTATATCACAACTGTCATCAGTCCATTTCTGTTGCTGCGTGTTAGGAAGAGATAGGAGGTGATTTCCTGTTTCGCTTCGCTCGACGAGTGGCCGGAAATCGGATGAACTCAAAGTGTTTGCTTTGGTCTGTGTTTGGGAAGGGGGGCGGGCCCGTGTGGAGCCTCTTGATGAAATGGACCTCCCTCTGGTTCTCCCTCGTCCTGGACGCTTTGATGGGCCTCCCTTTCCTGGTAAAAGCCACATACCAGCCGTCATACTTGGCATTCTGGAACGCCGTGTAATTGTTCTCCAGTACGATCTCTGTGAAGATACAGTCCCTGCTCCGGCCGTTGGGCTGGGTGAGAACACAGAAAAGGTTCTTGTGTTAAAACTAGACGGACAGACTGCCTGACACACAGACAGGAGCACACATTCATTCATATAAACATCAAACAAAAAACTGCTAAATAGCACAGCTATATTAAAGCCTTCTTGAAGTGAGACGATATACATTTTGAAAAAGAGAAAACAACAAATAGTTTCTATTGCAAATAAGAAGGTGCTGTTATGAGGAATGAATCAGTCCCTCGCTCGGTTTGAATGCGCTCAGGGGTTTTGGTGTTATAGTCCAACTTGGCCTTTTATGGCAATCGCTAACGTTGGCTACATTTGATTCATTTAGCTGCCATTTTCATCCATAGTGACTTACACTAGTAAATGTATGCTACATTAATTTACTAGTGCTGCATATAGAAACATTAACCTAAGCCTACATGTTTTATCTTTGACCATAAACAATAAAACAAGGTAACCATGAATAACTTCATTGCAGACTCTTTTGTCATGAAATCTTTGTGTATTGTAGTTGTTTTCAGGTCTGTGATCAACAGGTATAACCTGAATCTAAATGGCTCCCACAGACAGAGCCACACATTGCAGGACTCATCACTTCTTATTGCCCTGAAGTACTACAAAAAGAAATGTTCTTCTGAAAAAGAATTGTTTCTTTTCATCAACATATAACAATTGTGTCAGGTTGGAAGAGTCGGGAGCTGTTGGGCAGCGTCTTTCTGTTGTTTCATTATCTCTAAACAGACATTACAGCAGACACGGGTTTTCTGCACTCCTGATCATTTACACTATGGATTGTCAGCCAGCTGTGTGAATCCATCTTTTCCATTTCCATGAAGGAAGTGGAGGGTTGACTTATGACCAAACACACAGGCAGTGCATGATGGGAGGGTACTTTCCCTTCATCGGCGTCAGATGTGGCCGATAAGACTGAGCAACAGTCACTCAGTGGTCCGAGGGTCCTGTTTCCAGCACATCATGTCCTGAGCTGACTGAGACTACAGACAGGGGGGGAGCTTTAGGAGCCGCAGTGTGTCTAGTGGAGGCCGAGCACACTGTAAGCCCTCTAAAAAGACCAGGCTCCTTTTTTTAAATATTCTAAAAATACAAATATATTTAGTAAATAGTGACATAAAAAAAGAAATTGCCCAGATTGCATGAATAAAGTCCTGTCCTGAATTTGGCTGCTTAATAATAAAGTTTAAATCAATGTCAACATCTGCAGCCAATGGTTTCCATTCAAATAAATATTTAATAAAAGTATATTGTACCTTTCCAACAAGTTTGCCCTTCCGGTTCATGCAGAGGTAGCGCCCACTTTCTGCACCTCTGATTCTCACTCGACTGCCAAAGGTGTCCGTCTCCACAAAGAGGCGAGCTGCCAGAAAAAGAGAAAGTCAGTCAGCTGAAGGAACACACAATAAAACAATAAAACAATAACAACATCTTTTGTCTTGTTTTTACAAAGCATGCCGCTCTCTTGATGGAATGCTAATCTTTTTTAGACCAAATCTATTTTTGTTGACTGGGTTGTTTAAATTTGTCAGATATAATTAAAAAAAAACAGAGTTATTATTGTTGTTATCTTTGTCAGTTTAGTCATCTGACTAAACTGACAAAGTTTAATATAAGAATGTAATTCTATGTTATAGTTATATTCATATTAGTATCTTTGCTGAGCTACTGGCCCAGGGAAGACTCCTAAACAAATGTTATCACTGAACAATAAAGAGCTGTATTGCTCGCAGAATATACATTCTCAATTGTATTTGTCCTGCAGTCAATTAAAGCCATTGGGCATTACAACAGCCTTGTGTATTGGTGCTGTAGAGACAAAGGACTTGTCCTAATCAGCCGCTAATTCGCCAGACGAGGCTTCATGGATGCAGCAGAGGCTGAATTAACATATAGGCCTGAAACAGCTCACAGAGGGAGGGACAAGCCTTCCATGCTGTGAGGGTTCCATGGAAGAACTTCACTCAATTCTGCCCTAAAAATGTTTCCAATTTACAGCAGGTAAATCCTTGTTTGCCTCGTGTTATTATTTGTGCCAAAACACATCAGCCATAAATTACAATCGGTTCACCTAAAGATTTGAGATGCTGACAGATCGAGATGTATTTACCTGTTGGCAGGCAGATACCCAATTAAAACATGAGATGTAAACTCCAAGGCATTGGGCATGTCACAAAGAAAAGCACATTTGAACTGGGCATAGCATTACAAAAATAAAAATAAATGTTCCAAATGTTGTTTTGCAAAAAGAGCCAGGCTGTGTCATTACCTAAGGAAGATACAGAGGCTGGAGCTCCAAACCTTCTTTGGTCTCAAATTCTACTAAAGAATTGACTCAGACTGCTACGTACTACGGTCAGTGGTGTAAAGTAACTAAGTACATTTACTCAAGTGCATACTGAAGTACAATTTGCAGGTACTTGTCCTTTACTTACATTTTTTAATGTTTTGCTACTTTGTACTCCACTACAGTTCAGAGGTAAATGGTGTACTTGTACTCCACTACATGTATGTAATATATTTAGTTACTTCACAGATGTGGATGAATGATGTGAAATATAACCAAGTGTTAAATCAGACTTTAGTTCCACCTGGAGTAAATCCACCAGCTACCCTGCAGTATACAAAGTCATTCAAACTAGCTGCACCTTTACCAGCTTTGAGAACACTTTCATGATCAATCATTATAAAACATATCATATATATTATTCTGAAATGGACCAATCTGCACAACGACTACTTTCACTGTCTTTCACTATATTTTGATGAGAATACTTTTCTACTTTTACTTGAGGAACATTTTGAATGCAGGACTTTTACTTATATACAGAGTATTCTACATCATTGGGCGGATCTGCAGGGGCGATAAGCAGCAAGAGGAGCCCCTTACCGAACAGGTTCCCGTCCTCCGCGGTGGCGCTCACCCTGCGGCCCGGGATCTGCACGTGCTTCCCGCTGGTGCGGCTGTAGAGCTGGTAGACCCGGACCTGCCTGCGGCTCAGCTGGTCCGTCACTGCGCCCTGCGTCCTCACATACTGCTTAAAATTAGGAGACGGGTGATTCTCCCCCTTTTTATGCAAAGGGAAAAATGAAATACATAATTTTTTTTCTTTTTTTTAAACTTATTTTATAACCAACATATAGAGTTTCCCCAGATAGCCTAAATAGTTATACATTTAGTAATATATTCAGATTCACCTGCGACATTCACACGTGAGTTGTTATTAACGACGTTTAACTGTTAATCAATCATTTCTAATATTACAATGTTAACTTTTCTCGAGCAAAGTTTACAGTTCGCTTACCTGAGCATGGCACCACAGCACGAAGAAATGGAAGGATCTGTAGAACAATAAGTGAAGATTATTAGGCTTGTTCATAAAGAAGTCATTATGATACAACATTATATCAGTGTACACTGTGCAGTCTCTTACATGTAAACACAGCGCTGGTTTATTCCATACATTCTCTCTTTATTTCATCCGACCCAGAGAGGGAGTCTTCAGGCCGATAAATCCTGGGAGGATGCGTTAAATAAATCCAACGCTCCTGACCTGTCCATCCAGGTCTTATTTCTCCTCAGATTTCTCCTCAGATTGATCATAAACCTGAGCCAGCTGACTGGAGGCTGCAGAGCTCTTCAGAAGACCCGCAGGAGGAGCACATAGATCCATTCTGAGAGCATGCTGACATCCCTCTGTCTCTCAGGCGGCTCACTGGTTAATGTGGAGAGAAAGTCCCTCCCTGAAGTGTCCCTGCTGTGGGTGGGCACAGCAACAGGACCCTAATGGTGATTTAATAGGGAGACGCAGATCTGCAGCAATAACAAATATTAGCCAAAAAAAAGTTTAATTCGTCATCTTAGTCCTTTAAAGAATAACGAAACTAAGAACTGGAGAGTTTTAGCTCAAGTTGTTTCAAAACCTGAGTCTCTAATGTAGATCATTACTGCAGCATTGTATTTAAAAGTAAGGAGCCTAATGGCATCTTATGGGTGTGGCAATTACGTGTTAAAGAGACCACCCCTCCCCTTTTATCTCATTAACTGGTCACACTTCCAGATCATGTTAAGGGAGGCCAAAACAAATCATGTAAAGGTTTCATCTTTACATCAATCAATCAACATCCAAGATGAGCAGGATACTGTCTTCCCCTTGCCTCAATCCACATTCAGAGAAGACAGGAGACACGCAAGGCGAAGAGAGAGGAAGAGAAGACATGCACAGTTGTATATGTATACTGTCATAATGTCAGCATCAGATTCCCTTTATTAGTCCCGCAGAGGGGATATTTACAAAGTTACAGCAACAATGACGAGAGAAAAAAAGGCAAGGAATAATAAAGTAAGAGCATATTAAAAATAGGGAAAAAAAACATACTTTTGAAAAAAATAAAAATAATGAAGTTGTATATATATCAAATGTAATATATAATATGTTACACGTTTATGGGTCTTCTGTACACTGCTTGTTTTTGCCAGTAAAGTTCTTTGAGTTGAATAGTATTGATATGAGAGGCAAAGAGGAGTAACGAGCACAGAAGACAGAGTTGAGAAACAGAGGATGAGGTGAGTGAAGGAGGGAAACTGAGACGTCATTGATGTCCATGAACAACAGTGTAACCTGAAGCTTCAAGTGCCTTCACATCTTACCCTTCTCACGTTCTCTTGACCCCCCCCTCCACCGCCGGCCCTGTCTCGGGCAATAAAGAGGTCAAATGCTGCAGCAGGCATCTCTGACATGTTGATCAGCTCGGAACGGCTGACAGGAGCAGGTCCACACGCTGACGTTTGAGTTACAGGACCATGTAAGGATAACACTGACCAAAGTACCATACATTTTCACAAAATGACTTTCATTGAAACAGAACACTAACACAGTGACAACATGATTGGCCAAAACACACTTGTAAACAGTTATGTCTAAACGCTTTGTTCAATGTTTCTTAGATGTTAGAATTTCAACAAATGTAAAGGGCTTCAGGAGCATAGGGGAACCACACACAGATCTTCAGTCTCCACATGCTTCACGTCATTTCTGAGGCACACACACATGTGATGTAGCCTCAAATAAATATAATTATTTTATAATCTTAATCAATCACTGATCTGAATTTAAGGAGTTTGAAAAATAGATTGCAAAGACAATTTATTTTGGAAAAAATCAATATGAAATGTTGAAGTGATCCTATTGACTCATTAATAATTGTGTCTTCTCTCTTTATTTATTTGTTGTTGTTTTGTTTTTGTCTAATGAGTGTTATTACACTTATTGTTTTCTATTATTGTATTTGACCTTTTTGTTAGATGGGAATGTCTTCTCCCCTGTATTGTTGCACGTCCTTGTCTGGGTCTCAGGCCTGTACTAAATAATACAAAAATAAATAAATAATAATAGTTAATGAATATATGACTGTACATTTTTACTTTTTTGAGAAGACCTCAACTCCAGTACAACATGATGGATCCACAGGTGACATTTACACTTTGAAAAGCAAACCTTTTTTTGAAGATCTGGAAAGTGGATTGCAACAAGAAATGTTAAATCAAACTAGAAAATGCATTTCCTGCAGAGAATGCGTGCTAATGCTGTAAACTGTGAACATTTATGGCTGAATTTAGCTGAAAATGCAGAAAAAGCTGAATATGTTATTAGCTGAATGGTAGCTGCTTTTAGCTAAAAAAATGCAGAAAAAGCTGAATATTTAAAAGAAAAGGTTTAAAAAAGGTATAAACAACAACATGTATAGCCTTGATGTCCTGAAATAGCTGAATAATGTAATAGTTGAATGGTTTCTGCAGCTGAAAATAGGCTGAAGGAGTTACATATCAGATGTAAGTAGTAGTGAATGAATTTGTATTAAGATGAGAAAATAAAATAAAAAGGCTTGGGAAAGCAGATGTTACGGCCTATAGAATCTTGGACCCGTCACAAAGTCCATGGCGATGTGAGACCAAGGCCGATGAGGAATGGGAAGAGGGCGGAGAAGACCAGCAGGGGCGCGGTGTGATGCCTTACTGCGGGCGCAGATGGAGCAGGCGGCAACATACTTCTTGGCGTCAGAGGACATGGAGGGTCACCAGAAGCGTTGTTGGAGGAGGCCTAGAGTCCGAAGATCTGAAGAAGCACTGAAGATCTGGCGTGCGGTGGAACGAACAGCCGACCCGGTGGACAATCCTCAGGAGCTGGATGGTCCTCTTGTGCTTCCTGGACCACCCTCTCAACCTCCCACCTGGCTGCTCCCACCACACAGGAAGATGGAAGAATGGTTCCCGCGGATGGCTCCTCAACCGGAGGAGCGAACTGACGTGACAGGGCGTCTGCCTTGATGTTCCGTGAACCTGGCCGATAGGTGAGGGTGAAGCTGAACCGGCCCAGAAAAAGCGCCCACCGAGCCTGGCGAGAGTTGAGCCTGTGAGCAGAACGGAGATAAGATACGTTTCTGTGGTCCGTCCATACCACAAAGGGATGAGTCGTGCCTTCAAGCCAGTGCCTCCATTCCTGCAGGACTAAGACTACTGCCAGAAGCTCCCGTTTTGCCACATCATAGTTTCTTTCTGCCGGGGAGAGCCTTTGGCAGGGTCGGCTCTGATCTGCCCCTTCTCTACCACAAAACCCAGGAATGAAACAGAGGAAACATGAAAGGCACACTTCTCAGCCTTAACATAAAGTCTGTTCTCCAGAAGTCTCTGCAACACCAACCTCATGTGTTGGACATGTTCTTGGGGGTCACGAGAGAAAATTAGGATATCATCAAGATACACAAAGACAAATCTGTTAAGCACATCACGAAGGACATCGTTAATGAGTGCCTGAAACACAGCAGGGGCGTTAGTTAACCCAAAAGGCATAACTAAATATTCAAAATGTCCCAGGGGCGTCTTAAACGCAGTCTTCCACTCGTCTCCCTCCCTTATCCTAACTAGGTGGTAGGCATTTCGGAGGTCCAACTTAGAGAAGATGGTGGCTTGATGGAGGAAACCAAAAGCTGAGTCTATGAGCGGAAGAGGATACTTATTCTTTACAGTAATGTCATTCAAGCCCCTGAAATCAATACAGGGGCAGAGAGTCTTATCCTTCTTGCCAACAAAAAAAAACCCTGCCCCCAATGGAGAGCGAGAAAGGCGAATGAGACCAGCAGCAACAGAGTCAGTGATATAAGTCTCCATGGCCTCCCTCTCAGGCTTGGAGATATTATAAAGTCTGCTCGAAGGCAAGGGAGCACCGGGGAGCAAGTCAATGCCACAGTCATAAGATCGATGAGGTGGTAGAGACAGGGCACGATCCTTGCTGAAAACCTCCTGGAGGTCATGATACTCAGAGGGAACTGACGTGAGGTCAACAGGTATGGGGGGGGAACAGGTTTGGAAGTAACAGTGGTGGGTATGGCAGAGTGTAAACAGTGAGAGTGGCAGAACAAACTCCAATTGACAATGGATAAGGTGGCCCAGTCTATGTGTGGGTTGTGGAGTTTAAGCCAGGGGAGACCTAACACCAGCGGAGAAAGGGGTGAGGGAATGAGATAAAGGGAAATGGTCTCGTGATGATTACCTGAGTGTAACAATGACACTGGGGCAGTACGGTGAGTTACACGGGAAAGAAGCCTACCATCAAGGGAAAACATTTTCTTGGGCTCGGGAAGGAGTTCTGAGGGGAGATTAGACTGGAAAACCACGTCAGAGTCAATACAATTTTCATCAGCCCCTGAATCAACTAAGACTTGAAGAGGAAGGGAAACTTGTGAACTAGAAACCGTACCCTTTAACTGGAGACGATTAGCGTGAGAAGGGGAGACAGAAGTATGGCTCACCAGCGCCCCTCCCCCGGCTGCTGAGCCTGCTCTTTTGGCCGAGCGGAACAGTTGGCTCGAATGTGGCCAACCTGACCACAGTATATGCAGAGCCTCTTGAGGAAACGGCGTTCCCGTTCAGCAGGTGAAAGCCTCATTCTCCCCAGCTGCATAGGCTCCTCTGGGCTTAGGGATGAGGAGACGGTGGGTGGGTCCCGGTAGGAGAAAGGAGAAAGGCTCCAGGCGTTGGTGAGGAGGTGCAGACTGTCCAGGCGGACGTGGTGACTTGGGTTTGGAAAAGGGGAGAGGGAATCTCTGCCTGTCTGTTCTCTCCCTACGCCTGTCACGCAGGCGATTATCTAAGCGAATGGCCAACGAAATTAACTCCTCAAGGGACGAAGTCTCATCTCGAGCAGCTAGCTCGTCCTTTAACTCCTCGTTTAATCCACGGGAAAAAACTCTCTGTAGAGCCGTCTCATCCCACCCGCTCTCTGCTGCGAGAATGCGGAAATCAATTGAGTAAGTGGAGACTGACTCAGAACCCTGGCGTAAAGAAAGGAGCCGATTACCGGTCTCCTTACCCTGAAGCGGGTGGTCAAAAACTCGATACATCTCGGTCTCAAACACAGGAAAGGAGTTATAGATAGCTGGGTTACTCTTGGCTATGGCCACCGCCCATGCAGCTGCTTTACCCGATAACAAACTAATAACGAAAGCTACCCTAGTTCTATCAGAGGAGTAAGTTAAAGGCTGCTGATCAAAAACTAGGGAGCACTGGTGAAGAAACTGACTGCATGTCCCTGCTTCTTAAGCTCTAATCACACTCTCGCAGACTTTTTCGGTGATTCTAAAGTAGATGACAATGTATGTGTGTCGCTTAAGAGGAAAAGATGCCTGGTTTTTTTGTTGTTATTACTGTCAGGAAATGTACAACCTAACCCTGGTCCGCCCAGTAGTAGTAGTCAGATCGCTACTCCTGCTGATTTTAAAGCTAGATCTGGGTTGGGTTTCATCCACTTGAATGTGCGCAGTCTGTTAGGTAAACTAGATTTTGTCCGTATCTGGGCGAGCTCGACTGACCCTGACGTCATTGTCTTATCAGAGACGTGGCTAAATAAATCTATTTTGGCCTCTGACATTGCCTTAAATGGTTTTA